GTTATTTAAATCATCCTTACTGCCCTTTTTGTGTAGTGGAACAATATATGATTCCATCCAGGACGCTGGATAGTAACCCGTCGTTAAAATCATATTGAACAATTTTAGGAATTGATCAATCATAATTTCGGAGGAAGATATAAACATTTCATTGAGAATCAAATCAGGCCCATTCGATTTTTTTGTTTTTAGTTTTTTTACAGCTTTTCGAAGTTCATTTGCAGAGAGATTGGCTCATTCAGGTTGGTATTAATAGGCTCTTGTTTAAGTTGTTCAATTTTTTCAAATATTTCAGAGAGTTTGGACTGATCATGTTTTTTTTCAAAAAGTGTGGTAAAATGATTTTCCCACGCGTTAATGGTTATGTTATCACCCCATCTGGTTTGTCTTTAAGAAGGGAATTGACAAGTTTCCAGTATTCACGCGGGTTATTGCTATCAAGATCATCAAGTTTTTCTAATATTGCATTTTTAGCTTGTCGCATTTTGTATTTAGTTGTTTTCTTATAATCTTTATTTCTCTTATAATATATTGACCGCAGTTTAGAGTTGTTTGGATTATTATTTAATTGTTCTAGGGCCATAAGCATATCTCTTTTCAACCTATTGCAATCTCTGTCAAACCATTTATTCTTTTTATTACATTTTTTTACCTTCACAAGTTTTACACATTGTTTTGGGGTTTGGATCAAAGTCTTTCATCAAGAAATTATTGATAGCCAGTTTAGCGCATGGCTTATGTAGTTCTACCTGGAATGCTTGGTCAGATTCTACTTTCCATATAAATTTCAATGGTGATTTTCGTCGGGACGAATGTAGTGCGAGTTATAAATAGACAATTTTTCCCTTAGTTTTGTTCTCCCCTCTTCCTGCATTTTTGGGTTGACTTTTTGGTCTAGAAAAGGAGAAAAGGGATCAAATTTGCAATTTTATAGCAGTTTTGGGTAATACTGATGATATTACAGCGGAGGGATAGGGGGTGTAAAGTGTCTTTCTGAAGAGCAATCATTGTGTCGGAAGTGAGATTTTCACCCCAGTCAACTTCAAATCCGTGTAGCAAAAAATCTAAACGGTCAACCCCCTACAAGTTTATGATGAGGAGATTGCCAAATGTGGTCCCCATTGTGCCTATAAAGATTGGAACCAATATTGCATCATGATTACTGTTTTAAAGTATTTTCGTGTTTGATTTATATTGAATTTATCTCATCTTTTTACAGAATGCATTTATGTTCAAAAATAAAAATGTTCTGTTTAATTCAAAAATCATGTGCTTTTAAATTTCTGTCTGAAATTCCGCAGTTTTCTGATGTATTATAGTGGTTGAAGAATGCCGCACAGCTCATCTGAAAATGCATAGATTTTCATATTCTTTGGCCAGGGAATTGCATATATGTTTGTTTATTAGATAACAACAGATTTGTTTAAACTGCAGAAACATGTGAGGTGTATAGGACTAAGACTAGTAATTATTTCCCCTTATTTCATGATGGACGAATGTAGTGCGAGTTATAAATAGACAATTTTTCCCTTAATTTTATTCTCCCCTCTTCCTGCATTTTTGGGTTGACTTTTTGGTCTAGAATAGGAGAAAAGGGATCAAGTTTGCAATTTTATAGCAGTTTTGGGTAATACTGATGATATTACAGCGGAGGGATAGGGGGTGTAAAGTGTCTTTCTGAAGAGCAATCATTGTGTCGGAAGTGAGATTTTCACCCCAGTCAACTTCAAATCCGTGTAGCAAAAAATCTAAATGGTCAACCCCCTACAAAATTATGATGAGGAGATTGCCAAATGTTGTCCCCATTGTGTCTATAAAGATTGGAACCAACGGAATGTTGAGAAAAAAGCTACAGCCTGTGATGTTACAGCCATTTAACATTGAAGTCAATGGGCAAATAATTGCTAGTCTGAGTCCATATGTTTCCCCATTGACTCCAATGTTAATTCTCGTATCTTAGACCGTCTCTAACTTGTTCCCAAATTTTCGTTGGGTAGAAGCTTTCTACCACAGATGGAGCAACATGTGGCAACCACTTGCCCAAAAGCACGTATGAGGTTCTTCATGAAAAACATGAGAAACACAAGCTGGAAGTAGAGACAAGTAAACATGCAATTTCAGGCCCTACATTTCAACCTAACCAACCTCTCAAATTGTATCCTTCCGCATCAACATTATATGAATATTCACAAAAACCTGGCAGAAAATGTATTTTCAAACCCTTTTCTTCGATTCTACACCAAAAAGTCAACAAAAATCGCCATGCAAAAGGGGGAAAAAGGAAAAGGGAGAGGAAGACTAAAAATAGCTTTGGCCCTTGTTTAGTGTAGGACGGCGTAGGAATATTTGGTGATCTGTGTCCATCATTCTGAACATCTGAGACACGCTACCTGCGGAGAAGTATCTCAGAAACAGTCAATAGCCATCTTATCCATATCACGTGATCTACACATCACAGGTCATGACATTGACGTCAATGGGTCATGAGGTCAACAACACCTTACATTGTATACAATAGGTTTATCTTCAGCATTGTGTCCTTTGCATCCATAAAAACTATATAATTCGTACAGTCCAAACATGTTCTCTCTTCCTCCAATGATTTTTCACAAAAATAACATTTACAACTCATAGAATTGACGTTGTCTTCAATGGCACTATTGACAGCGTCTGCAGCCATCTTGGCACTATTTTGTGCGTCGTCGTGTCTATTTCAGATATAAACAATCAATTCTGTTGATGTTTTTAGCGTTGGGATTGACGAATAGTTAATTTATTTCAGTTCTAAAACAAATATTTTAAACTTTAACGCAAATTTCGAAAATAGCCAAATTCTGGCTGGGATTACTGAGCAAAATGGCCATTCACTGTATATGTGCGAAAAAAAAGCTAGCCACCAATTAATTTTCGTACGTTAGTTACGTACGCTGTGTCCATATGTTGACAAGAAACTAATGTATATATGGCTACAGATCATTAAAGATTTGCCTTTAATGTTAATTGTTGTCTCTTATACCGGCTCTAACTTTTTCCCGAATTTTCGATGGGTAGAACGCTTTCTACCACAGATGGAGCAACATGTGGCAACCTCTTGCCCGAAAGCACGTAATAAATTCACCATGAAAAACTTGAGATACACAAGCTGGAAGTAGAGATAAGTAAGCATGCAATTTTTGACCCTACATTTCAACCTAACCAACCTCTCAACTCTTGTATCCTTCCGCCTCAAAATCACGAATATTCACCAAAACCTGGCAGAAAATGTATTTTTAAAGCCTTTTTTTCGATTCTACTCCAAAAAGTCAACAAAAATCGCCATGCAAAAGGGGGGAAAAGGGAAAGGGAGAGAAAGACTAAAAATAACTTTGGTCCTACATTCGTAGAAATATTTGGTGAGCTGTGTCCATATAATTTCGTTGCAATTTGTTGTAATGTATTGTAATTGATTAATAGCATGAAACATGTTATTGGGTGTTATTTTGGAGTTATTGGGTAATTCGAGATCGACGCAAATTGTTATTTTGTGTTATTTTGGAGTTAGGCTTATTGGGTAATTTGACGCGCCCTACGTTATCATAATCATGATGCATATATTTGAAATGAATTCCGGTAGTCTTTCAAAATAAATACACCTACAGCGCCTTCATCTGGCCTGTGGAGAGATCAAAATAGTTATTCGTTATATTATAATGTATTTTACATTTAAAATAAATTAGTTTTGTTGGAGGATTCGGGGATCTTCGAAGTGAATTCCGATGATTGTAAATGAATTCCGGTGATTAGTCTACCCGACTAGCACTCGGCAAACCTCGGCAGATTCCGGATAAACTGGATGGAAAATAGCCTAGAGACCATGGTCCGATAAGGACGGAAAGGGGCGGGGTTTATGCTTTTTAACCAATCGGATGTGAGAAGTAGTTACATCTGCGGATCCTCGCGGGTTGTTTCAAAACGGTAAGCGTTTTTTTCCATCCACTGGAGCCAGGTGTTATGACGTCATATGTGGATTGTGGGTTAGGATAAGGGTTAGGGTAAGGGCTGTGGCCTGCAGATTTCGTCAGAGTCTCGAGATGTAGACAGGGCTAGCCCTAACCCTAACCCTGGGCCATTCCTAACCCACAATCCACATATGACGTCATAACACCTGGCTCCAGTGGATGGAAAAAAACGCTTACCTTTCAAAACACGTGCTCAAAACACAAATATTAATAAGTAAAAGATTCGAGGTAATTTATCTGATTCTGAATGAAAAAGACCGATATAACATAATATAACTGGCGTGCAATTTAATATAGTTTCACGCCATGGTCCATTTATTGACTCTATTTAAATCGCAATTCTCAGGCACCGAATGTCATATAATAAGTAGTTAATTATACTTATTTATTTATGTTTTGAAACAACCCGCGAGGATCCGCAGATATAACTACTTCTCACATCCGACTGGTTCAAAAGCATAAACCCGGCCCGCCCCTTTCCGTCCCTATCGGACCATGGTCTCTAGGCTATTTTCCATTCAGTTTAATATACCTCCTAGCTTAGATGTAGGGTACTGGAATCTGTTGAGGTTTGCCGAGTGCCCGACTAGATGTTGGTTACTGGAATCTGCTGAGGTTTGCCCAATCTGTTTAACAGAGTATTACGAAAATCTTCTAATAGCTCTGTAAAAGATGACCGCCTTCAACAAATGACGTCATATCACGCGGCGTCAATCATTGGCTCAATGGAGCGTGCATTGTTTACATAAGACGTTACAGATTCGAGCAGACTGGCGCCTTTTACTCATTTTAATACCCATTTACACTAAAATAAGGAATAATTTTTACCTACAAATACTTCAAACGTCTTTATTTATTTTTCTAATACATAAAAAAATGTTTTAGAATTTAATTTGTCGGAGGAAAAAAGTTAATATTTGTGACTCATTAAATTGCATCGATGTCATCCTTTTCAGTGATTGTCGCGGCCTAGCGAATATTCACTGCGGATCAGTGTGAGGTTTGCCGAGTGGTCTATTTGAACGCTCTTCAATGCGAAGATCCTTCTAGTTTGCTAGATGTAAACTAATATATAGTAATATAAGAATTTAATATTAATATTTACTAGATCTTAGGCCTACACGTTTTTCATCTATTAAATTAATGCCAAAACGCGGCTATGAGAGAGGGGATGAAGAACAACATTATGAGAGAAAAAAACATAGAACCAATAACCCAGAAGATATTCCAAATCTACATACAATTTTTAATGGAGAGGTAGGGGGTCATTTCATGTCAACTGGACCAATGGTTGGAAAATGACCCCATCCAAAAAAATTATAAAAAATATATGTTATAGTATATGACCTTAAAGGAGCTAAATCGCTAACATTTTGGACCTAGATATTGACAAAAGTGGGTCGCAACGCATATAATACTGTAATATGAATGTATATAAACTGATTTACATTCAATGGTTTCCGTATTTACTCCAATTTCAAATCAGTTATGTTCGGCGAAATAAGCCAGCAGTCTCAAGCGAGTGCAAATTTCTAGCGTCTGGTTATTCAAGTCTACATACGCCGTTTGATTTGGTGCAATGTGTCTAGCCTCGTCCCTCGAGTCTCTTGATTCAACTGGGGCTGAAGCGCATTATGGTACACGATTCGTGTACCAATGGTAAAATGTTTATTTTGTCTTAAAGGAGCTAAATCGCTAACATTTGGGACCTCGAAATTGACAGAAGTGGGTCGCAACGCATATGATACTGTAATATGAATGTATATAAACTGATTTACATTCAATGGTTTCCGTTTTTACTCTAATTTCAAATCAGTTATGTTCCACGAAATAAGCCAGCAGTATCAATGGAATTCAAATTTCTAGCGTCTGGTTATTCCAGTCTACATACGCTGTTTGATTTGGTGCAATGTGTCTAGCCTCATTCCCCAAGTCTCTTGCTAGAACTGGGGCTAAAACGCATTATGGTACACGATTCGTGTACCAATGGTAAAATGTTTATTTTGTCTTAAATATTGGATATCAGAAGCCCATCTTTTTCCGGTAAGATCACAGCATCAATGTTGATTTAAATTGACAAATAATTCGTGTTTTCAAAGTTGAAGATTTTGGATGATATTGAGTTAGAGACTTAGCTACTTTAAATATTCGATATCAAAAGCCCATCTTTTTCCGGTAAGATCACAACATGAATGTTGATTTAATTTGACAAATAAATCGTGTTTTCAATGTTGATTAAATTTTCAAATTTTTCTCCGGGAGGGTGAGGCCTCCATATACCGCGCGACGATTGATTGGTTGTTTGGAATTCGGGTCAGCCAGGTAGGCTATATTGGACCAAATTGAAGTTGCTGTATTCACAGACTGGAATAACAGGAAAACGCGTTTGTGGCAGTTACATTTTCAAAATTTTCTCCCAACGGTCCCGTCTTCGTTGACTGTAAACGATTGATTGGAATTCGGGTCAGCCACCTTAATAAGGCTATAATATATATTCGACCACTTTAAAGTTGCTTTGTTCACCGGCTGAAATAGCAGGAAAACGCGTTTGCGACAGTTAAATTTTCAAAATTTTCTCCTAACGGTCCCGTCTTCGAGGACTGTAAACGATTGATTGGAATTCGAGTCAGCCACCTTAATTAGGCTATATTAGACCGCTTGAAGTTGCTTTGTTCACTGGCTGAAATATCGGGAAAACGCGTTTGCGGCAGTTAAATTTTCAAAATTTACTCCTAACGGTCCCGTCTTCGAGGACTGTAAACGATTGATTGGAATTCCGAGTCAGCCACCTTAATTAGGCTATATTAGACCACTTTGAAGTTGCTTTGTTCAACGGCTGCAAAAGCAGGAAAACGTGTTTGCAGCCGTCAAATATTCCAAAATTGTCTTTGGGGGAGGGGGGTTATACAAGGTCGCTGCTGTCTGTAAACCCGAAATGTTTTTGGGCATTTCGGGTTTTGCCCCCCTAACTGTCATCGAGCCCCTACGCCTATGATGATATTGAGTTAGAGACTTAGCTCCTTTAAACTAAGAAATCCGAAATTTTACCTCTCTAGGTTGGAAACTCGCTATGATATGGCCATTTGAAATTAGGGTACTAAAACAGATCATAAATTCAGTAATTTTTTTCAGGTTTTCAGATATGCTTTAAACTCACATTTCTAGTAATAGTAGTAGGACCCTCTAACTTTGTAATCTAAGACAACTTTTGGTGAAGATTATGAATTTAGCATCATACTCATTATCCAATGCATACTGTTCGCGCCACCAGGTGGCAAAATGCGGAACAAATGAATTATTCACTTTTATTTTCAGGATTTCCACAGCCTCTGGCAAAATCACTATTGTATACATAAACTGCAAAATTGGCATAGTTAATGTCAGTTTGTCTTATATCAATTTACAAAAGATTCTAAGTTGATGGGATATATATACTTTTCTAAATATTCAGTCTCGAAATTCAATGCACACTGAAAACATACAAAATATACCCATTTTCACCTTCAATTTTGGCAATGTGGGACAGAGGTTAAAATTCTGAAAAAGTTTTAGAATGAAACTTCAATTACCCTACTATAACATACATTAAAGTCTATCTTGGGTATTTGATGGCTTATATTTTTAATTGGCACTTGAAATATGTGCTGTGATAAAGTTTTAATGGCTGTTATCCAAATTGTTGACTTTCACGTTTATTTTAAAATGACTTCTAAATGACCTATACTCCTCAAACAAGTTTATTTAAAGTGATGTTTTACGTAGATTACAAATATGTAATCATTTTGGATGTACATTGTATTATTCTAATTTTATTTTGCCTCCAAAATAAGAACAAAATGGTTAATACGCTTCACGAATTAGAATAATGGGTTTTGATGATCAGATTGAAAGTATTTCTGAAAAACTTAGACCCCTCATATTTGTCATTTTAGATCAACTCTTAACAAACGAATTAGAATAATGGGTTTTGATGATCAGATTGAAAGTATTTCTGAAAAACTTAGACCCCTCATATTTGTCATTTTAGATCAACTCTTAACAAAGAATAAGAATAAGGACTCTTTTAGGATCCAGGGAGTATCGGTTCGTTTTAGTTTTGCCTTAAAACAGGTCAAAGGTTTTTTGTCTGCTCAGAAAGTTTGAGTACGGCCTTATGTACTTTCACTATCTCAAGACACATCAAAACTACAGGCCGCAATACTTAACGCATCGTCTTGAAACTATGTATACTAGTTTTTCCTTAGACCATAAGGATGTTCCCTATTGTTTTTGGTGCGTGCCAGACCCCAGAGGCAGAGAGCCACGCTCAATTTTTGCATGTGTCAGTTTGTCGCGTACAATCCAAGATTCTAAATGGATTGTCTTGAAGTTCCTTATACCCTAAGAATGATCGCTATTGTTTTTTGTGTGACCAACCCCCAGGGGCAGAGCCACGCTATTTTTTCTTTGTGTGTCTATGTGTTTTGATCATCTTGAAAACTTTTCATACTTACTCCTTATACCTTTAGAATGACTGCTCTTAGTTTTGGTGCATGCCCGACCCCCAGGGGCATAGCAACGCCCATTTTCTTTTTGTTTATCGCCTGGGGGCCGCAATTCTGAATGGACCATCCTGGTGCGTAACAGGTGTCGGGCATGCACCAAAAGTTTAAAATTGCAGCCTGTGGACGATAACACTAAAATCTGATTTTGCTGTGCCCCTGGGGGTAGGGCGGGCATACACCAAAAGTCATAACAGTCATCCTTTGGGTATAAGGAATATATATGAATAGTTTTCAAGACAATCCATTAAGAATTACGGCCTGTAGGGCAAAAAAAAACCCACACAGACACACAAAGAAAACATGGGTGTGGCTCTGCTGACCCGGGTTGGGCAAGAACCAAAAACAATAGGAAACATCCTTAGGGTATAACTATAAGGAATAAGTATGCAGTTTCAAGACCATGCGTTAAGAATTGCGACCTGTAGTTTTCAAGTGTTCAGTGATAGTGTAACAACACTACTGTACATGTACTTCAACTTTCTGAGCAGACAAAACAAGTTTTCCCCTGTGTTGGAAAGCAAAATTAAATTGAAACGATACTCCCTGTAGCCAAATGAGTCTATATTCTTATTCTACAATATACGTTGCTCTAAAATGACAAACATGAGGAGCCTAAGTCTTTCAGAAGTAATTTTAATCTGATTGTCAAAGCCCTATTTTACAATTTGGGAAGAGGAATAACATTTTTATACGCCCACACTGAAATGTGGTCGTATATTGTTGTCGACCCCGCAGGCATCGATATTTCCGCGCACATGCGCAGGCAGGTTTGCTTGAAAAAAATTTTTTGCAGGCACATTTTTAAAGATGTAGTCACGCCGCCCGGCACTATTTTTTGCCGCCCAGCACAAAGAAAAAAATCGAAAAAGGCCCAGTCGTATTTAAACCCCTTCGTCCTTCTCTGTACACAAACTCGGCGCGCGCAATTTACCACGGCAATTAAATGGCAAAGCCATGGTAAAAGCCGACGTACGCAAACCATGTCTGTCACGGCATAATTTATTTTTGTGTGCCGTAGTAGACCCTATCATCCCAAATTAGTTTAAAGAAAGATGTATTGGTATTTTGTTTATTTATACTTAGAAGATGTGTAGGCCTAGGTCTATTCATTTTACAATTATTCTACGGTCTTTTTATTTGTTTATTTGCCGTAAATAGGTCACCCAGACCAATTTACGGCACTCCAATGTTAAAGGTTTGAATGTCGTAATTGTCCAAAACGTGCCTGCAAATTTTCACGATGATCTTATTTTATTTCTTACCTGTGTTGACCGTGGATTTGCTACGGCCCGAGAGTAGGACTAGGAGGACAATGAGAGCTTTCTCAGTTTCTGCCTGACCTGATTCTCATTCCACCGTAATAATAATAATATTCGTGAGACACGTACAACAACTTTACAAACCAGTCAAAATAATACAACGTGTTTTAATTATCAATATCTACCTTTTGTCATAATTCGTTGTGCTCAAATAAAACACAAACACCAATTTAAGAATTGTTTTAATTTTTAATCTCAAAGTAATAAAGTAATATTTGAAAAAACCCCAACAAAACAACAAATACCGAAAGGTCCTCAACTTATCTATCCAGAGAAACAGAGTGGGGTGGGACAATTTTATGCTCGGTCGGGTGGTGTCAAAAAATTTTTAGATCCCTGTATCATTGATGAAAATTAAGTGAATTTGGTAAAATTTGAATATATAAATGGAAAT